ATGATGTAATTTTTTTTTTTTTTGGACAGATTTTCACAATAGGGCGCGTGTGCTCGCCAGACAGACAGACAGAGACATTAGAGACAGAACGTGAGAAAACACCCCCCAGGGGGGATGGCCACGCCGCAATTCCTTCTCCTCCATTCTCCTCTCGGGATCTTGGGCATGCACGCACACGCGCCCAGCGTGAATTTTAAGCCACTGGGTCTGGGACGCGAACCGCAGTCGACTACATGGGAGTTCAGCGACATAGCCATTACGCTAACTGCTGGTTCCCATGATGTAATTTTCTATGTAAAAATTTGTCATGACTTTTCCAACAACCCAATATTATTTTATTCAGCATGACTTTGCTTGCTTTCTCTTTGTTGTCGTACATATGTATTGCATTTAATCATGCAACATTTTCATGGCACCTGACACATAGTAGGTACACATAATAAAGACTAACTTGCGTCACTAACAGCTTTAATCAACAAAGAAAAAAGTACTTTCCTATTGAGATTACAATTTAGTCTTAGTTTTTTATTAGGAGGTTAGCTTATTGGTTGTGTCCTCCTAAATACATAATACATAATGCATGTCCATTCATCATTTTGTCAAACTATTAAGTCCAATACATTAATATCAATAGGCTTCACTTGTTTATTATGTCACCAGCATGAATCATATCTTCAATGATCCAAATCGAGTTTCAGTAAATAACTACAATGAAAAGAAATGAGCCTCAAACATCTGCCTTGAAGATTTGTATTACAAGAAGAAAGCAAATTAAATCACAGTTATTTATTACAAGCTTCACTTTAGTAAACCTGGGGGTGAACTATACTAATTTCATTTACCATTTACATTTATTACTTATTTAGGATGAAGTACTTATCTCTTGAGATTCAGTGCACTGATCTACATATTATGGCAACTGTTAAAGAAAAATAAAACTATTTTATACCAACTTGACATACAAAGGAGTTAGACTTGAAATAGGATGTCATTCAAAATTTAAAAGTTACTAAATTTTCTAAGAGGTAAAGTTTTATGTATATTCTGTTCAATTTCTTTAATTTACTTTAAGTGAAGAAGGCATTCTCCCTCAAATAATAATCAAATAGATTTTCTAACCATTGAATATCGAGAATTTTAATGTAACATCCATATCTTCCATTTATAAAGTCTAAACAATGGGGGAAAATACTTACTTGAAAGTTTTACATGATATTTAGAAAATATTTGTATGAATTTTTCTGTTTTGTTATAAATGCTATATTTATTTTTGTAATACTGAACAAACAGTAGTCACTATCAAAATTGGCTTTAAAATGCACATAAATGTGACTCAAATCAATATAAAAAGTGCTTTCTGTTTATGCCATGAAGCCATATATATTTAGGAATGACTCAGTAGTATACTAACAGACTAAAGAGTTTTTAATTATTCCAAATGGGTTCTTGCTATCAGAATTCTCCTGCTTCAGCCTCCCCAAATTGCCAGAATTATAGGAGCATGGCACTGCATCTGGCCTTTAGACTGGACGAGAAATGGAACACATCCCTTCCATGTGGTCCCAGCCTGCAAAGCAGTTTCTTAGCACCACAAGCCACGCTGGCTGGTCTGAAGGTTCTTGCTCACTTCTCATGCTATAATTAGGAGGCACATGTATGAGGCCTTCTTGAATTAACTTAAAGGTAATGCTTCGTTGGTTAAAATAAAGAACCACTGAGACAATGCATCTGCAGTTCCAAAATAGCTAGATTATCTTCAGGCAAAATAATTTCTACATAGCATTAAAGGTCAAGGATGTATCCGTGCTGACCACAGTGTTTATAATGAAAACAATCACGTCCCTAAAAATATTAACAACCAACAGCATGATTGACTCTGTAGGACACTGGACAGTTCTTTTAATTAAGTGTCCAAATGATTGAAATCATATTAAATACATTTTGATAAAAGAGTCAGATTTATCATATTATGTTTAGCAAAATAAATAAGTCAATACATGTAAGAACATATTGTGGGAGACCTGCAGTTGGCGTAATGGCTATGTCGCTAGACTCCCATGTAGTCGATCACAATTTGAGTCCTGGTCCCAGTAGCTTAAATTCACACCAGGCACATGTACACACAAGATCCCAAAAGGAGAATTGAGGAGAAGGGATTGCAGTGTGGCCATCCCTCCTAGGGGGTGATTTCTCACTTTCTATCTCTGTCTCTCTCTGTCTCTGTCTTTCTGGTGAGAACAAGTGCCCTACAGCAAAAACCTCTCAAAAAAAAAAAAAAAAAAAAGAACATATTGTGGTATTGCTGAAATAGACAGACAGATGGAACAAAATAGAATACAGCAACAGACCCATGTAGATATAATTAACTGATCTGATGATGAAGCATAGGCAAGGCATCAAGGCATCAAAGAAAAGATCATCTTTTCAACAAATGGTTCTTAAATGGTTCATATATATATATATGTGTGTGTATATATATATATACATATATATGTGTGTGTATATATATATATATATATATACATATATATATATGGAATCTAGAAACAGATCTTAATCCCTTCACAATCCCTTCACAAAAAATTAGCTCAAAATGTCACAAACCCACACTTAAAGGGCAAAAACATAAATCGCCTAGAAGACAGCATGTAAGAAATTCTAGGCGACTTTGGGTTTTGTTGATGCTTTTTTAGATATCACACCAAAGGCATGATGTGTGAAAAGAAAAGAATAGATAAGTGGGGCCTTATTAAAATTAAAAGCTTCAGCTCTGCAAGAGACAGTGTCCACAGAATGAAAGACAAGCTATAGACTGGCAGGAAATACTTTTAAAAGACATGGTTGATAAAGAACTGGTATACAAAATGTAAAATGACTTCTTGAAACTCAACAATAAGGTTATGAGCAATCTGCTTAAAAATGGACAACAGACCTTAACAAACACCTCACCAGGAAGACATCCAGAGAGATGGCAACTTAGCTTTTGAAAAGATGTTTTATATAACGCCATCAGCAAAATGTAGATGAACTCATACTGCACCTCTATGGGAATGGCCATATCCAGAACGAACAATGGCATGTGCTGGCGAGACGGTGGAGCATTTATGGCTGGCAGTGAAGCAGAACAGCACAGCCACTTCTAAGAGTTTGTTGGTTCCTTACAAAACTAAACATGCTCTTGCAACTCAACTCAGCCATCAATGCTACTTGATATTTACCCAAATGAATTAAAAACTTATGTCTACACAAAAACCTGCACACAGATTTTACAGCAATGCTATTCATAATTGCCAAAACTTGGAAGCAAACGAGATGTCCTTTAGTAGGTGAATGGGTAAATAAACGGTAGCATGTGAGACAACTGAATATTATTCAGCAATAAAAAGAAATGATTTCCAGAGCCATGCAAAGACTTGGAGGGACATTAAATGCATATTTTAAGTGAAAGAAGTCAGTGTAAATATTGTGTGATACAAACTATACGACGTTCTGGAAAAGGTACAACTATGGGGACAGTAAGAAGATCAGTAGCTGCCAGAGGTTGGAGGCAGTAAAGGATGGATAGGAAGAGCACAGAGGACTTTGGGGCAATAAAAATATTCTGAACGATACTGTAGTGACAAATATATGTCATTATCCATGTGTTCAAACCCATAGCGCATACCACAGCAAGAGGGAGCCCTAATGCAAACTACAGACTTTGGGTTAAAATGGGTCAATGTAGGCTCATGCATGGTAACAAATGTGCCATTCTGGTGGGGCAAGATTTTGTTTTATTATTTTGGATTATAGGCATTGATTTTATACACATAAGTTATCTTTTTTGCATATATCTCTCAATGGGATTCTGCCACATTCACACCTTCTAGTGAGGGTGAAATTTTACGTTAATCTTATTCAAAGAACACAGCAACTGTAACAGATAAAAATGAGCATGGAGTCTAGGGCAGCAGTACATGTTGATAGTGAGGGATCTCATGGGCAGGCAGATGGTTTCCAGCCTTAAAGGGCATTTGTACTACCACAGCACCACAGCAGATACAGAACCCTTTTCTAATATCACCACATATATATATACACACACACATATATACACACACACACACACACATATACACACACACACATACATATATATAATAATTTTGAAAGGTATTTATATTGTACGTATAATATATATAGAGAGAACAAAAATATCATTATATATAATAAATATACATATATATAATACATTTGAAATTTATTAGAATTTAAGAAACTGGGAGGTTAGATTATTTCTAATTTGAGGCTAGTGTTTATATACCTGAAACAGAAATCTTCTTGTAGAAATGACATGTATGTGTAAGTGAACTTTCAGTCTGTTTGGCTTTGCCTTAAAGACTTCATTAGTTCAGACTAGAGTTCCAGAACGGACACAAACTTTTGACGATGCTAAAAATATTATTATATAATGTAAATAGCTTTTAGAAAACTTGCCCCACTTTGCAAATCAAAGTATTCCTTTATTTTTTTGAATAACAATGTGTTATTAAGAATAGGTGGTATACAAATAACTTAGGCATGTCTTTGACTTCAAAGAACTTAAAATTAGATGGGAAAACTCGTGTGAATTGTGTTACAGTATCTTGCATGAAGGGCTATGGCTGGGCTTTGTCTCTCAATATCCTCTAGATCTCAAAATCATCTAGATTCCATCTTTTTGAATTGAAAATGGCAGCATTGAATAGAATTTACTAATAAACTACATGGTGAGGATATCAATGGTACCAATAGGATTCATCTGACCAACTTTTAGGAGCACATACCTCATTTTCAATGGTTGGAGCATTTTATATGGAATAAATTGGTCTTAATATGACTATGATGCAAAAAAAAAAACCCCAAGTTTTTACATAATATGGCATGGGACTTCTCTCTGCATATGGTAACCTAGAGCTCTCCCAGCAAATTCATTTTTTCATGAACTCTACAAGGTTAGGGAAATACGTTTGAACACTTACGTTTACAGGCCGGTGGCCTGCCTTTGTTACTCCATAATCCATCTTCCTGACACACTGCTGTTGCTTGTTGACTGGCTTCGAGCTTAAAGCCCTCATTACATTCATAGGTCACTTTACTGTCCAGAGTGAACTCATTACCCACGAAGGAACCATTTCCTGGTGATTCTGGTATTCCACAGGACACAGCTGAGAAGAAATGAGATAAATACATTTGTTTAGCAGGCTTATTCCTTTCGAAATGCATGCATTTTTTTTTCCATTTTTTATCTCAAATACATAGAAAAACTGCTAATGCTATTTCTAGACATAATTTCACACCTTTTCAAACTTTTAAGGATATTACGCATTAATGAGAAACAATTAAAAACTGTTCAGAATAAAATATCTTTATAATTATTATTCTAGAAGACAAGGCTGACCATTTTCATACAGTTTAATCACAGTCTGCCATTTAGATTTTTTTTAATTTAAAAAAAATTAAGATTTTTGCCTTAGGACCCATGCACTTGCTGGAGAGAGAGAGAATTAGAGGGAAAGTGAGAAATCACCCCCAGGAATATGGCCACACCACAATTCCTTCTCCACTCTCCTCTTGGGATCTTGGGTACACACATACACATGCCTAGTGAGATCTTTCAGCCACTGGGTCCAGGACTCAAACCATGGTCGGTCATGTGGGAGTCCAAGAATATAACCACGATTCCGTCTATTGGTCCCAAATTTTTAAATTTTCATTTAATCACTGTACATCTTTATCATGTATAACATGCTTTTTCCCAGCATGAATGCAGTGCATATTAGTCCAGTCAAAAGATATTACCACATACATTATCTTTAAGAGATAACTTTGCATTTTTTGTGTTAAATGTGGTGTGTATTTGATTTTACACTGATCTCCTCCCTCCTACTCACTTTTGCCCATCCTTCTATACTTCTCTAGCATCTGCAGTTACCTTCCCTGCTATTACACCTTACCATCTTTCCAGTTTCTGCCGTAGAGTACTGTGCCATATTTTATTAGATGGTGTGGTAAAGAAAGCATAGTTTCATGCATTCTACTTTAATACTTGCGGGCGGTGGGGGAAGAAGAGGGAATAAAACAGTATCTTTACCATCACAGAAGATATTCCAATGTTGGGAACCAGCAGTTAGTGTAATGGCTATGTCGCTGGACTCCTACGTAGTTGACCGCGGTTCGCATCCCAGACCCAGTGGCTTAAAACTCACACCAGGTGCATGTGCGTGCGTGCCCAAGATCCCAAGAGGAGAATGGAGGAGAAGGGATTGCAGTGTGACCATCCCCCCAGGGGGGTGATTTCTCACTTTCTGTCTCTATGTCTCTCTCTGTCTGGTGAGCACATGTGCCTTATAGCAAAAACCTCTCAAAAAAAAAAAAAAAAAGATACTCCAATGTTGATTTCATGGTGTCAAGATTTATGAGTCAGCAATTGAGTCAGCACCTACTGAGGTCTCAGAAATCTCCCCCTATTTATTTGTCCCATCCCCTTCCCTGGCTTAGATTTCTTAAAGCATCAAGAAGTTCTGTTAAGAGGTAAATCAGTTACCTAAGACCAATGCACCTGTTATCATAAAATGTAAGATTTTATGAACTGTTGGTCAGAGAGAAAAGGGATGTAAGGAATTAAGAAATAGGAGGTAGTAAGGAAAGATATCTAGGGAACCTTGTAGCAAGGTATAAAAGTGCTATCTATGCATTAGATCCCACATGGCTGACAGCAGTTCAAATTCCAGACCCAGTAGTTTAAAAAACACAATAGGTGCATGTGCGTGTGTGTTCTAAATCCTGATGGAAAGGAGAAATGGAGAAAAAAAGATTGTGGCATGACCACATCCCATTGCAGGGATGCTTGCTCGCTCTCTCTCTCTCTCTCTCTCTCTCATGAATTCATGTACTCTCTAACAGAAAAAATACTGAGGGCAGAAAGCAAAGTTCTATTGGATACACAAATCTGCTTTTACATGAGAGTTAATGCAAGAAAGAGGAGTGAATAAAAAAGAAATTTTAAAAAATTAAGTAAGATGTGGGGATAATTTGGCATAGATATTTCGTTTTTTGATTTAGTAGCTATGGTCCAGATTTATCTGAGATTTAAAATTAAAAATGAAATCTTTGGCCAGCTGGTGGCATAGTGGCTAAGGATGCTGGGTCCCTTATAGTACACTGTGCAGTTGGAGTCTTGAACGCTATGGCTTGAAAAAGTTGCCAGGTGTGCATATGTGCATGTCCAAAATCCCAAAAGGAAAAATGGAGGAAAGAGTATGTGACATGACCATCACCCTCTGGGATGTGCTTTCTCACCTTTCCTCTCTCTCTCTCTCTATCCTTACATATGTATGTGTGTGTGTTTGAAAGAGAGAGAGGGAGAGAGTACACACACCCTTTAGCAAATTAAAAAAAGAAAAATCTCAAGTTGAGTGACGACATACCTACTTCAGATGTTAAAAAAAAGAGTTATTCAATAAATAAATTAGGGTTCTTCATTTACTCAATCATTATTTAAGAAATTCTTCTCTTTATGATTTAAGTTCAGATAACTTAAAAATTTCTTCACATAAACTCCAATCAGAATATACAGATAGTGTGTGATAGCTACAAGGGCCAGATAAATGTGTTTGTGTAAGCTTGTAATATTTCAGATAAAGACAAATGACTGTAATAAAGATGAAGTGATTAGCCTTGGGCAGCACAATGACTCTAGAAAACCTGTGACCAGAGAATAGACCTTACAACAGAACTGAGACTATTTTTTGTTTTCCAAGAGTCTTAGGTTATCTCTGCTTTAGTTTGAATTTTTTACTTTCTTGGCTCGGTTGTTTTTTATTAAAATCTTGAATAAATACAATGAGAAATTATCAGAAAAGTGAAAGAGAATTTGGTGCTAAGAAAACTTAAACTTGTGGGCCAGGCACATAGCCTAGTGGTTAAGGGAGCTGGATCCCACATGACTGACCACAGTTTGTATCCCATCCATGGCAACTAGAAAAACAAGTGCAAGTGCATGCAGGCCCTGGGTCCCGATAGACTGGAGAAATAGAAGAGAGACATTGTGGCATGACCACATCCCATTCCATGGGGAGATACCTACCGTCTCCTCCCCAACCCCATCTCTCTGAACCTCTGGCAAGCACACATGCCCTGCAGAAATAAAAACAAAAAATCTCTTGGAAAATCCAAGGTCTAAAATTTCTTGTGTTTAAATTTATGCCCAGCTACTCCAACCATCTGAAACGTGCGAATGTGTGTATGGCATACCACATTAAACTATTTTCAGTAGATGAAAAACAAAATCATAGATACAGGGGTCAGTAGATGGCATAATTATTACATTGTTGGACTCCAATGTAGTTGACCATGGTTCGAGTTCTAGATCCAGAGGCTTAAACATCATACTGGGCATGTGTGCGTGTGCGTGTGCGTCCACAATCCCAAAGGAGAATGAAGGAGAGCAGATTGTGATGTGGCCATTCCCTTTGGGAGGTGATTTCTCACTTTCTTTCTCTCTGTCTGTCTCTCTCTGAGGAGTGCACATGCCCTATAGAAAAAAAAAATCTCTAAAAATAAAAAAAAATAGTAGACGTCATTTGGGGCAAAATACTTAAAGGAATAAAAATTATCCTTTGATCCCTAAGTCCATCGCTTTGTCAAGGCAGTGTCTCCAAAAAAAGACTGCTTAGCATTTGCAAAATATTTGTCTTCATTTCCTGAATACAAAACATCTCTTAGATTTTGTTCTTTTTGATTCTGTTTATACCATCCTATGTCTAGACCTACCACACTTTTCTCTATGATTTTCCCCAGATCACCTATGTCTAGACCTACCACACTTTTCTCTATTTTCCCCAGATCTTCTTTTGTTTGTGCTCACAAATCTTCATTTTTCTTCCACTCACCGAAGTGTGCCCTGTGTTCAACTACCTAGAAATTCTCATTCGAGGAGAGGACAGAATAAAATGACATTTTCCAGGCAGGTTAAATGGGAAACGACCTTATATAAACATATATGAAGCCCTACCATAAAAGGATTCACACTCTGGAGGTCAAAACAGAAAAGCTTTACAGCTGTTTCCATTAAGTCTGGAAACTTGCTTGAAACATAAACCCCAATTCCAAAGATTTAAGAAGACTTACTTTATGTTTTCTAATCACCAACTGGGAATGTATTTTAGCTTTCACCTATAATTTTTAGCCGTTTCAGTGTCTCAACAAAAGGTTATTTGGCAGTGCTTAAAAATAGAGACTGACAATCTATCAAAACACTGAGCGAACATAAAAATGGAAAATTATCTGGTGATGATAATGAGTATGACAATGACTTTGACTGGACTAATACAATGTATTCATGCTGGGAAAACCCATTTTGTAAGCTGTAAATAGGTATAGTGATTGAATGTAAAAAAGAAAATTAAAATTAAAGAAGAGAAGAATGGAATTATAACACTTCTGATTTAATGAACAATAGATGGCAAAATAGTATAGAATAAATTTGGGTTCATGGAAGGGAGGTAGCTTCCTGCTTAGGTCCTGAATTCTATCATCTACTCATTCATTTCCCCAAATGTTGCAGGATTGTTGTGTGACAGACCTGCCATCGGTTACTTTTTTTTCGAAAATGCCGATTGGTTAAATGTTCGCAACTTTGAAAAGTTGGAGAATCTCCTTACTTTTCCCATTGCTAAAGGGAGTACAACTTAGCTTTGTTTTCTTTATTTATACTAACATCGCATTATATTTGTCAGCAGCTTAGGCAAATGATCACATATTTATTCTAGAATATTATTTTTTATTTAAGAGCACAGGCTTCAAGTCAGACTTCTAGTTGTAGTCCCTGACATTTGGCAGTTGTATGACATTAGTTCAGTTACTCAATGTATGTTTTATCGCACTCAGGTTCGCAGCACCTACATCAAAAGGTAATTGTGAGGATTATAATTAGCATTCAGTTAATACAATAGAGACATTAAGTAAATTACAATTTATTATAATTATATGCATGATGTATATATATGAGTGTGTATATATATATATACACACACAGTCTCATAATTTATACTTATATTTTTTGTAAATGAAGATATGAATGAGTTGCAATAATTTATCCTTATAAGCTATTTATTAAAGAGAGCAATGAATAAATGAGTAATAAATTGACATTTGTTTTATATAT